GGAACAAAATAATAGAACATATAATATTGATAGCATACGCTGCGTTTGTGTTTGAGGAATTGTTTAAAAAAAAAAAAAGGAAAAGTGGACAAAAATATGTTTAAATTATGTGAAATTTATGTATATTTTTATCACCATTTTATTTATATTTTTTATTTCTCTTTTTAAATCCCTAATGAAACGCAACCTAGTATTGGCAATTGCATTATGGAGATGTGGATTGTATGTGGAAAAAGGTTCAATTTGAGTGGCAAATTTGAGGTGGCTAAGCATCTTGACAAATCTATAGATTATTATTAATTATTATTTATTGTGATGTCATGTTCCATGGGGTTGTTGATGCGAATTTCATGTGACATTAAGAGATGAAATACCTTCTGAAGTGGGCCTTAGGTTGCTTTTAAGTTATTTCAAGGACAACTATCTTTTAACTATTGGGAGCTTAACTTACAGTAATCCTTTATACACGGTGCAATTTTTATGAGGACAACATTGATAATTTCTTCTTCGACGAAAGTTAACTTAAAAAAAGATTGAATGTTAAGTCCTTTTTAAATCAAGTAGGAAATTGCAAAGAGAATTCACGTAGCTGATATTAACTTGATTTGGGAGCTTTAACTTAAAAATTTTTGCTTTCACTTGGATGTTCCAAGTTCAACGTATTTGTTTGTTTTCCTAATTGTTGCGGAGTATTGGGTACTTTGGTTAGGGCGGGGGGGGGGCGAGGGGGGGGGGGGGCGGGCGGGGGGGGGGGGGGGGGGGGGGGCTACCTTTTTTTATTAGTAACATCATAAATAATTTGTGATTAATTCGGTTAAACACTGTTGACTGAGTGATTATACTACAAATAATATTTTTGATCCTGATTATTCGATGCATATTGGTCGCAAAAGTTCTATGGACCATAATGTATTGTGTAGGCATTGTCATATAAGTGTGCCAAGGGCATCATTATTATTATTATTTTTATATAGATAGATAGAGACAAACACTTTAACACAAAATTCAAATTTTTTTAAATAATAAAATAAATCACCAGCATTACCAATAAAGCTTGTGCAGATTAGGGGTGTTGCAATAAATACGCAAAACAGCCGAAAAGCCAACCGCACCGGAACCGCACGCCAAGGCCAAACTTCGTTATTATTTGTCAATCGAACACGCCTGGTTTTTATAAGAAAAAAATTTGATAACAAATTCTAGTGACACTTATATTATCGGACCGGATTTTCTATCTTTCTTCTAACCGCACCGACCCGCACCGCTATTAAATTCATGGTTTTATAAGATTCTAAATTCATTATTTTTTAAACTTAAGTTTTGCTTGCTTTGTTTCTATTACCTTAGAAATATATAGTATTACATTACTGCTCGAGGGGAATTTATATTGTATTGAATTTGATTCATTGTAGCTTCCATAGATATCTTGGCATTTATTATTATAATGAACTGATCGCAATATGTCGTTCAATATTATCATGTTTGATTGCTTTACACTTGCTTGCAATCGAAAAAGCTTCGCAAGATGCCATTAACAATCACGGTGCATATCTCTGTCTTTTTTTTTACTCTTTAATTTAGTTTTGTTAATATTGAATTATATTTTTTATAACCGCCAATCCGCCCGAAGCGCCAAGGCAAATCCGTCAATTTATTTGACAACGAACAAAACGCCGAGTTTCTCAGATAAGGAAAATGGAATTTAAGTTAACCTTTATATCAAATCCGCACCACCGCCAACCCGCCATACGGTTTCTATTTTTCTCTCAAACCGCACCGACCCGTACCGCGCACACCCTTACTTGTGAGGCCATTGTATGGTAATCTTCAAGGGATTTTTGGTGAAACCTCTCTTTTGGGCCTTTTTTATTAGGGTAAAGGATAATCTAATTAATTTTCTTTCAAAAAGTTCACGAATAGGAAATGCCTACCTTAATAAGGACATTTTATAATTTCTATTTTTTTATCACAATATTTCCCTTATATATATAGTATCATACGTACGAAAATTTTGAAATTTGAGCTCGCAGCCGATGAAGACGATGAAGACGATCTCCAAATCGATCATACTTCACAAAATCGATGAAGACGATCTCCAAATCTAAAGATCTCGCAGCCGAACATCTCTCACTTGTTCAACAATAGACGATCTCGCAGCCGAATATCTCTCACTTGGTGGCCGATGATCAACACTTTCAATTAAACGAGAGTTTCATTGAGATTTGTGATTGTTGATCGAGTTGTAGAGGTTTTTCTTCTCAATTAGGTATGTTGATTTGTTAATTAATTTTTTTTGTTTTGTTTGTTTGTTGTTTTTTTTTTTTTTTTTTTATTTGTTGTGTTTTGATCTGATTTCGTTTGACAGAATCAGGAGTAAATTTTACTCTGGTTCTATTGTTGGTGCCTTTTGTTATAGAGATGAGAGTAAAATTTTACTCTGTTCGATTGCTCTGTTTACAATGAGAGTAAAATTTTACTTTTATACAGAGTAAAATTTTACTTTTATACAGAATAAAATTTTACTTTTAGATTCCTTTTGTAACATTTTACTTCTATATCAGAGTAAAATTTTACTTTGGTTCGATTGCTCTGTTTACAATGAGAGTAAAATTTTACTTTTATACAGAATAAAATTTTACTTTCAAACTCAGGCTGCAACATTTTACTCTTAGATTCAGAGTAAAATTTTACTTTTATATAGAATAAAATTTTACTTTTAGATTCCTTTTGTAACATTTTACTTCTATATCAGAGTAAAATTTTACTCTGGTTCGATTGCTCTATTTACAATGAGAGTAAAATTTTACTCTGTAAAAGTAAAATTTTACTTTCAAATTCAGGCCGCAACATTTTACTCTTATGCAGAGTAAAATTTTACTTTTATGCAGAATAAAACTTTACTTTTAGATTCCTTTTGTAACATTTTACTCTTATCAGAGTAAAATTTTACTTTTATGCAGAGTAAAATTTTACTTTTAGATTTATGTTTCAAGTTATGTTGGTGACACACTGTATGAGTTGTCAATCTTTGGCAAACTAAATAGTAAAAATTAACTCGAAAATATAGTATAATGTTACACTAAACCACAGTAAAATTTTATCAATTCAAACTAAACACAAATTGTAGTGACAGTAAAATTTTACTTTGATAGTAAAATTTTACTTTGATAGTGATAGTAAAATTTTACTTTGATAGTGACAGTAAAATTTTACTGTTAATTGATTGCAGATTTGTAAAATGGTTCCACCTCTTATGTTGTTATGCAAGTATGGTGATCGTACCATTGTGTTCAAGGTTGTGTCAAACTACACGTTGAATGATTTAACTGATTTTTTAAGTTGTAAATTGAAGAAGTTTGACAATAGTGGTTGCATACTGTTATCGTATTGTTTGCCTGGACATTCGCATTGCATGATTGATGATGATTCTGATTTTCAGAATATGTTGTCGATTATTTATCCCCTTGGTGTTGACCGGGTTGATGTGATTATTACTGAAATGGGCATTTCAAATGAAAAACATGGAGTTGGAGAATCAGGGGACGCTACTGGATCCAACATTACTGATGATGAAATCGATTTACTCCCTATGCTTTGTCAACATGAAGAAAGGACTTTGTTGTCTTGTGGATGGGTGAATGGAATTACTCGTCAACATGAAGAATGACTTTGTTGTCTTGTGGATGGGTGAATGGAATTACTCATGTAGGTCAAAGATTTATTGGAGGTGCAAAGGATTTCTGGACTGCATTATGTAAATATGCCATTGAGATAGGATTTGAGTTTGTGTATGTGAAGAATAAGAAGTGTCGGGTCACTGCTGTGTGTTTAATGCGGGAGTCGAAAGCTTGTTTATGGCGAGTACATGCATCTCTAGAAAGTGCTAATAATTTTTTCTACATTAGGACTCTACATGATGAGCATACTTGTAGAGCTGCAGTTCGTACTTCTAAAAACTCAAGGATGAGTTCAAATTTGGTTACAAGTTTGATTGTTAATGAAGTTCGTGGGAATCCCCAAACTCGTCCAATTGATGTTGTGCGTCAATTTACAGATCAATACGGGCTCACCATTACGTACAATCACGCTTGGTTGGGAGTCGAGAAAGCTAGGACTAGTACTTTTGGAGATTTCTCTATGTCTTATGATGAGATTCGATGGTATATGGATATTGTGATGAGCACAAATCCTGGTAGTTTTTTGCGTCTTGACTATAACCATCAAAGTGGACGGTTTAAGAGTTTTTTTGTTGCATTTAATGCTTCCATTCAAAAGTTGAGGCATTGCCATCCTCTATTGTTTATCGATGGAACTTTTCTGAATGGGAAACATAAGGGCACCTTGTTAACAGCTACAGCGAAGGATGGGGATCAAGGTAGATATTACTATAGTTTATTCCAATGTAACAAGTTACTTATTCTCAGATTAACATGTTACTGTTATTTAGAGTAAAAATCTACTATATTTGTCCTTTTCATTTAATATACTTACTAATTGTAAAATGTTATTTTTCAGGTTTTTTCCCTCTTGCAATGGCAATTGTCGATACAGAGACTACAGACAGTTAGGAATGATTTTTTATGCATTTGTCGAATATATTATTGGATGAAAGACCAATTACCTTCATATCTGATCGGAACGCTGGACTTTTGGAGGCTTTACCCAAGGTTTTACCTACTGCTTATCACTATTTTTGTCTCCAACACTTGAAGGCCAACTTGAGGGATAGGTTCTCTGGTCTAAGTTTCAGCAATACTTTCAGGAGTAGAATAGTTTTTTTGTTTTCTTCGTGTGTTTACGCTCTGACAGTGGGATGTTTTAATCAGTGCTTGAAAGAATTACAAGATGAGGAAAAAGGGATCGTTTGTGGGTTTCTGTCTAATTTGCCCTATGACAAGTGGACTAATGCATACTTTAAAGGACAAAAATACGGTGAAATGCACTCGAATGTGGCAGAGTCTTTCAATTCATGGATCCGTCAAGCTCGCTATTTTCCTACTACAAAGATGATTGATTCAATTAGGTTAAAGATCATGGATTTGATGTCGAGAAGGAGAGAACAAGCTAAGAAATTGAATACTTTTCTTTGTCCGGAGATGGATTCAACATTAGTAAATGCTCTTAAAAGTGGAAGAACTTCGTTGGTTAGTCGTTCAAGTGATCATGTTTTTGAGGTTCAATCCCGGCCATTGGTTAGCGTTGACCTCTTGAATAGAACTTGCTCATGTTACCAATGGCAATTGAATGGATTTCTTTGTGCTCACGCGGCGACTGCTATCCAAAAGAGCGGAGGTGATTTGTATGCACATGTGGAACCATTTTATTATACTAGCAAGTTCAAAGATTGCTATGCTGAGTCCATTTATCCAATACCCACTGTTGAGAAACCTCTTGTAGCTATGGATGATCTTGTTGCCCTTCCTCCAATTTGTAAGAAGGCACCTGATAGGCCAAGGAAGAATAGGATCTCATCTAGGGGTGAGAAGATAAGACAAGTACAGTGTGGTAGATGCGAGAAGTACGGTCATAATAGGAAGACTTGCAATGAGGCATTGCCGTGAAAGACGTTATTGATTTTGTAATAGAAGTATGAAAATAATGCAGTTCTTCTGCAATAAGTAGTCCATAGCAATAATAGTATAGTCTTTTAGACTAGATTTGTAAGGCGACATTGCAATAAAAGACATTTTTACTATATTCTTGAATGGTTATCTGTTCTAGTTTCTGATTTGTTTTGTCGTTGAATGGTTATCTATGGGTGTGATGAGCCTGTGGTTTTACAGTAAAATTTTACTATGTTTAGAGTAAAATGTTACTTTTATATTAAAATTTTACCTTATTTCAGAGTAAAATTTTACTTTTATGGAGGGTAAAATTTTACTTTAGTGCAGAGTAACATTTTGCTTTTAGATTTAGTTCCAAATTTTACTCACCCTTCAGAGTAAAATTTTACTTTCATACAGAGTAAAATTTTACTTTTAGATTTAGAGTCCAAATTTTACTTGCCCTTCAGAGTAAAATTTTATTTTTATACAGAGTAAAATTTTACTTTTATACAGAGTAAAATTTTACTTATTCCGGCTGTAACATTTTGCTCTTAGATTCAGAGTGTAACATTTTATTCTTATTTCAGAGTAAAATTTTACTTTTATGCAGAGTAAAATTTTACTTTTAGATTTTTTGGTAATATTTTACTCTTATTTTAAAGTAAAATTTTACTTTTATGCAGAGTAAAATTTTACTTTTAGATTCAGAATGCAACAATTTACTCATCTTTCAGAATATAAAGTAAAATTTTACTTTTCATTTCAGAGTAAAATTTTACTTCATTTCAGAAAATATGTTAGTCCCTTAGAAAAACATTTTCAACCTGCACCAAAATCCACAACACACAAACTCCCCTGATGATCATCATGCAATCTTTGTGCAAAAAAAAATCTAACAACACAACTACATATATCATCAACATTCATTCCCAGTTAAAACAACATTCATAGCAACATTCATTCCACTTACATTCCTAGTCAAAACAAAATTCATAGCAACATTCATTTCAACATTCATAGCAACATTCATTCAAAAAAAATTTAAGCCTCTATCTGCATCATTGTATTCTATCCATAACAACATTCATTCCCAGTCAAAACAAATATCCTTCTATAATAATGTATTAATCACCAAACCACAGTAAAATTTACTAGAACAATAGACATAGCATCTACTATCTAATACTCTTTTAGTATTCTTTCACTTACAATTACTTTTTCACCGTTCTTTCATTTACAAAAACCGAAATTACAAAAATCATTCACAGTAGTTCCCCAGAACTTGTCCACATTGTCATCCTTGAGGTCTTAGCTCTTGCCCTTTTTTTTTCGAGGTTGAAGTGTTCCTTAGTCCATGCTTTTGGATAATCATTCAAAAATTGATGCACTATTGACGCTCGAAAATTGTTAATTTCATCATCTTCTATAGAATTTGCAATAGGCTCATCTCTTATGATTTAGCACATGATATAACATACAATAATTCCACAATCAACACTGTTAAATAAAAATCAATATCTTGTTAGATTTAGTCAAATTTGAAAACTACCAATTCAAGCATGTAATAGTAGCGTGAAATACTTACGATGTTGGGCGTTGTTGTGGACTATCTTTCACCGAAACCAAGTTTGAAAACTTTCTTCTACCTCTTTTCATTTTGTTGGCCAACTTGCTATCCACATATGTTATCTAACATCATTGCATAATTGTTTGGTCACGATTAAATTCAAGAATAAAACACAGCAAAAAATTATTGTTAATATGATGCAAAGCACTTACAATCTTTTTTGCATCCTTAAGGTAAGGATCTTCTCTGTTGTCTCTTGGCCTTAAAGAATTATAATGTCTCCACTCATCAAGTTCAGTGTCAAATACAAGAAGTGTCCAGTGGTAGGGTTTTTCTTCGTTTTTGTTCCCATTGGAATTCATGCAAAAATGAAGGTATCTATATCCACTCAAATCTTGTTCAAGGACTTTATCAATTAAATGATTTCTCAGCTCCCCATAACCCCATTTCACCAAAGACTGTATTTAATCATATAAGAGTGTCATGTCTCAAGTTGTGTTAGTGACACACTGTATGAGTTGTCAATCTTTGGCAAACCAAATAGTAAAAATTAACTCCAAAATACAGTACAATGTTACACTAAACCATAGTAAAAATTTATCAATTCAAACTAAATACAAATTGATGGCTTACCTAACAAAGGCTTGAGAAAACGAATGATTTATTCTTTTCTGGCTTCTTGACTTGTTGCTCAATCTCAAGCATTTCTATGAAGCTGTCAATGACCTACAAAAACAAAAATCAATTAAATATATGTTAATAAAATGAACTATTTTTAGTTATTGAAGTGAACACTATTCATTGAAACTTGTATGGCCACTTACATTATTTGCAGTATCACCATCTCTCAGAATTGCATCCACATCATGCAATGTAACAAATACTCCATTTCCTGTGCCGGACCATATGATTGCACTAGTCATAAGGTAAAAAAAATGTTGATTAACACGTTGCAGTTTGATAACAGTAAAAATCCGTTGTTTGACAAAATTAAAATGGTCTTACACTGTGGTTTCCAAATTGTAAATCTTGTTCAATAGACACTTATCATTCTCATCAAGCAATTTGCTTATTGCAGCCTTATCTGGAAACAAAACCCTTTCAACTGGCTTTGCTTGGCTTAGAGACAAGTTGTCAACACAAATCACTTCTTTTGACATCACTTCAATTGCTTGTTTTGTGGTCTTTTTTTTCTTTGCCTCTCTTGACTCACATTCAAAATCAGACATCTCTTTTTTTTTCCTCGCCTTGATTTTGATTTTCCTGACCATGGATGTTTGCAATGGCTCTACGACTATAAGTGTTTCTTTCAATGTACTTTGAATCCCAATGTTTTGCTCTTGTTCTACTCCTTTAGCATGTGGCATTTCTTTAGAAGCACAACTTTGGGTAGCCGCATGAACCGTATTTTCTTCAATCTGTTCAACCAACTGTTTATTTTCAGATTTGAGTACTTCAATCTCCTTTCTGAGTTTCTCCATTTCTTTCTCTGTGCTGCTCATCTTTTCCATTATTTCTTTTGTTTTTGCCTCTTGATCCTCTTCTATTTTTTGCATTGTTTCTCTCATTTTCTTCAGTTCTTCAACCAACGCCATATTCTCACTTTTCAGCCTCTTGTTTTCCTTCTGAAGATCAATGAAGTCCTTCAAAGGTTGATCATCTCCTAAAGCTTCAGCTACATGATCTTCATCTTCTTCAGTCTCTAAATTTTCTTCCATGTCCAATGCATCTTCTTCAGTCTCCAAATTTTCCTCCATGTCCAATGCATCTTTTTCAGTCTCCAAATTTTCCTCTATGTCCAATGCATCTTCTTCATCATCATTGCAAATGAGTTTCATTTCTTCTCTGGAAATGGGCTTCAGTTCATTGTGATTTACCTGCATTTGAAAAATAGAAAAAGAAAAGAAGCCAGCAATTAAGCAAACTTTAACCACTAAAGTAAAATTTTACTCTATTTCAAAGTAAAAGTATACTCTGATTGTAAGTAAACTTTTACTCTAATTTTAAGTAAACATTTACTCTGTTCAAGAGTAAGTAAAAGTTTACTCTGATTTAAAGTAAACTTTTACTCTGTTCAAGAGTAAGTAAAATTTTACTCTGACTGTAAGTAAAATTTTACTCTGATTTAAAGTAAATTTTTACTCGGATTTAAAGTAAACTTTTACTCTGTTCAAGAGTAAGTAAAATTTTACTCTGACTGCAAGTAAAAGTTTACTCTGATTTAAAGTAAACTTTTACTCTGTTCAAAAGTAAGTAAAATTTTACTCTGACTGTAAGTAAGCTTTTACTCTGATTTAAACTAAACTTTTACTCTCTTTAAGAGTAAGTAAAATTTTGCTCTGTTTCAAAGTAAAAGTTTACTCTAATTGTAAGTAAACTTTTACTCTGTTCAAGAGTAAGATTTTATTATGTAAGTATAATTTTAAACAAAGTGAACTAGTAAGGCTGAGTTTGGAAAGATGATACCCCTTCGGGCTTTAGTGTTTGCAATGACCTCTTCATTAGCTTTTTCCTCAATGTTGATAAGTCCCATCGAAGGAGCCTTGGACACAAATTTTTTCCTTAAGGTTGAATGAGCGTAGTATGCTCGCATAACCAGTACTATAAAATAAAAAATCGAAATTAGTTAATTCTCTAAAGATACATTGCATAATATTTAAAGTAGTTCAATTTACTTACCAAAAGAAGAAATACACATTCAGTGACATTTTCAAGACTTCCTAATGAAGAATGGATTGAAGTAGTCAACGCGGATGCAACTGCAGTCGACCATGCATACGAATTCATCATTTCCAAATCTTCTACAAGGGTGACAAAGGCCCATCCAACTGTTAGACCAGTTGTTGGTAATAGCAAAGTCGCCACAACAAATAGACACATTATTCATGCAACATCCTCAACATCAATTCTCATTGTGCCTTCCAACGCATCTCCTAATGCCTCTCGCAAACTCTTTACAAATATTCTTGACATATTACGAAATCTTCTCTGCACAAAAGGTGATTCTTGTTTCTTTCCATATGACACATCTACTTTTTTCGTTCTCGATTTTATCCCAAAAATCAAAGTAACATCATTGTCCCATATGTCACATGTTTTCTCCCCAAGCTTAAATCCCTTTGCATGAAAGTCATAAGATTTGATCACATCCATGACATTATCATCAACTTTCTTGAACTTCTTTAACACCACATCATCTTTCTTCCAAAAATATTTAAACATCCCAAAAGGTGTTCTTTCAAGGGCAGTAATGTGTCTTTTAGTGAACCTCGTGTCTCGCATTAGGTTTATCAATGAAACAATATTTGACCTATATTATTTCATATAGTTCTCCATCTCCCGTACTCCATGTACAATATTCAACTTCGAAGGACTTTCTTCACTACTTTTGCTCTTTTTTTTAGGAACTTTCTTCTTTTGTATAACCGTTGGTGGAACTTCAAAATAA